GCTGTCACAAATCAGTCCGCTCATTATCTCAGAAGAAACTGGCTGGTCTTGAAACAAGAAAGCAAATAATTCTCACATTGTAGAGTTTAATGTTGAAGCGCTTAGACCATTGTGATTGCTACAGAAATGCCTGAGCTCACTGGCATTTTTATTCTTACAGGCTTCACAAAGCAAAGGCAGATGTGTTCACTCATACAGGGTGTTTGATTTGCCGAGGCCTGAAGAGTCCTCACAGCTTTCCTAAGCATAGTGATGCATGTGTGCAACACAGCAAAGCTGTTTTTTGAACCTATTTCTCAAAACTGTATTACAGAATTTGCTTTTCCAATCAAAAAGGAAGATTCAACATATACTCTAGATAAAAACGTCGTTTCGATTACTTAGATTGATTTCTGGCTACGTCACTTTTCTCTGGTATTTAAGTGACAGCACTGCTGCTTTTATCACTTAGAATTCTGGGAGTTGAAATCCACAAATCTTAACATTGCCAAAGTCAGACACCCAGGCATAGATGGAATATGACCTGCTCAAGTGAAATACTGTAACAAAAAATAAGCCAGATTCTACAACAAAATGATGACACTTGATGGCTTTTGATCAGGGCCTCAGCTACACTAGCTACCCGTTTTCTTTATTTGCTACAACAGCTCACTAAAAACACCAATTCTTGGGACATTTTAAAACAGCTTCCAAACATGAATAAAAAAGCGATCAGATAGTATAAAAAAAAATCTGCATTTCTTTCTCTCTGTTTCTACCCATTCTATTCCATAATATGCTCCCTCTCATCCAGATGTTGCTGTTCTGTCTTTGTCCTTTTTTCAAGAACGAAGGGACATTTGAACCATTACTTCAAGGAATAAAGATTGTGAAGATGGAGCTCGGTATCACTCAAGTAGAGATAATCATGGAACATCTTATATTATTCTTTAAAACACGAAAAAAAGCTTAGCGTTTACATGTTCCTCCAACTGCATTTCCTTCTACAATGTCACAAATGAATTGCAAAGACTGACATCTAAAGCTCCTGCAGCCTTTCCGCTTAGGGTTCTGCTATGACGTAACAGTTCAGGAACAGAGTGTAGAAACAGATGAAATTTTGGGAAGACCCATACATGTTTTCCCCACCCAAATTCTCTGTTCCTCTTTGACATCAATTAGCAGTTAGCTATTCCAAATAAATAAGAAAATAACTAGTAATTCCTCAATCAGGAAGCATGCTTGTAGCTGTTCTCTTAAACACTCAGCCTACCCTTTCAATATCTCAAGATATTGAGATATTGCTCAGAGATATTGCTCAACAGCTCAGCACAGCCAATATCCTGTTGATATCGCACACAGAACAAATGTTAATTGCCTCAAGGACATATCTGTATTTATTCTGGTCATCTGCAACTTATTATTATAATTCAATGACCTTTTACAATATTTTGGGACTAACCAGCTCAAGGAACTAGAATTATGTCATTTCCATCTCTTCTTTCAGATTTAAAGGATCCAGATTATTTTTGCTTGGCAGAAGAATGAGGAGACAGCTGTTGGAGGGAGAGATGGGTATATTTCCTATTTCTTCTAAAATTGAAGAATAAACCTGAAAACTTGCTACCAATTCTTAAAATGGTACAATATCTAAAGAACCAAGGGGCATATTCACAGCCCAATGTAATAGTTTGATAACTTTAAACTGCCATGTCTGTTTCATTTGAAGAAACAAATCCAAGGAGATTTTTCAAAGCAGGAACTAGGAAAGGGCAAATTGTGTTAACATAAATCAATACAGAGTCCTTAGAATACAAGCATACTGACAAATTTCTGCAGAAACTCCACAGGCATTAAAACACGGATCTTGCTGGGCTGGACCCAAGATCTATCCCATTTACAAGAACAGATTCCCAGGCGGTCTCTCATCTGACAGAAAGCCCACCACAGAAACTGAGTGAGTGGTAGAGATATAACCTCTGGAAAGTAACCCACGTGGCCTTCAGTTTCTATCCCCACAAAGCTAAGCTACAGAAGTGAATGGAAGAAGGTGAAGAGAGCAGCACACACAGAATTCAATGTCTGGTCTACTTAAGCCATAGCTATTGGCAATAGCAGAGATTCCTCTTTTGTTAAGGCTCCTTCCTTGCCTGCCTGCCTGCTATGAAAAAGACCAAGCCACAAATAATTAGCAATATTTCCTTACAGCATCTGAGATGAAAAGACACAACCACAATCTGCATGTTTTATTCTACATGAATCATCCTGATTTCCAAATTGCCTGAGCTTTTATTTTTCAATCACTACTTCCAAGTTGAGAAAGAGAGTCAGTTTTGCCAAAGTTTATTCAACACTAAACTAAGTAATAAGCAAAAACAATACAAGGATGTCACTTGAGCAAACTGAACATCAATAAGGGATGTCTCTTACACAATTTCCTGGGGACGGGGGAGAGGCTAAACAGAAATGGACGGGAAGGTCACTAGAGGAAGAGTGAGAGTATTGCAACACAATGAAAAAGTACATCACTTCTATTTTGAAATCATGTATATGAAGAATAATTCAGAAAATTAAGGTCTTAGCTTTGCCATGGATTTCCCTGAAAAAAATTGGAAAACACTGCCTAAATTTTTGGTCAGTCTGAAAACAACTGACCAACAATTTAGGCAGTGTTTTCCAATTTTTTTCTGAAATTTGGCCACATTCCTAAACTATTCTACTATTAAGAGGTGGGCAAGATAAACTAGTTTAATCTAAGTGTGATAAATTTCCTTGTATGGAATACACATAGAACATTGCTGGATTAGATGCCAGATGGGGCATGAGACACTAATACAGACCACAGCATTAGAATAGGTGAACAGTTCTGCGGGTATATTTTTTCTGTGGATGGGTTTAGGAGGAATAACTTTACCATCAATTCTTGTAGGCCACTGACTTCCTAGCACAATGTGACAATAAAGCAATGAGAGTGCAATTGCATTTTAAATATGGATCAGAGAGTGTCTCTACCCAAGAAACAATCAATCTATCAGGATCTTGGCTCATCCAAAAAATAAAAAATCTTAACTTGGCTTCTTTTCCACCTGGGGCTTAGGAACTGTCCAAGTATCCCCCAAACCTCACGTATTTGAGAACTTCAGACAAAAAAGATGCATTGTCAAAAGAAGGCACAGTGTATCACATGTCAAACTCCATTTAAAAACCAAGACCAAATTAGGCTCTATCTATTCCTTTAAGAACCTATTTTAATCTTCTGTCCCTTGCTTCTTTTTCTATCCAACAACATTTTTTTAAGGATAAATTATAGGATGCTGTGAGTTTTTCTGAATGTGGTATAAGAAAGTTGCCTTGACCCAAAAATTTCACTTCCCAATGCAATAACTGCAAAAAGAAATTTCAGGCATCAGCAGTGGCTCAACACTTATATTTTTTACCCATTCTTAAATGGATTTAAATTGCAGGGCATTACAGTCCTAAGCAAGTAAACATACCACATTCAGAGTACAGATTGGTATCCACTTATGGTCTACACAAATCAGAACTATCAAAAAAGATATGGAGGCCTTGTTGGTTCATTTTTAGGGACCATCAAATCTGTGCACATCCTTTTCAAGAAAAAATACTACCAATGACTAAAAATAACAACTAAACTAAAAAAAATGAATAAAATGAAGAATCCAAAGATTCAATCCAATCCCTGGAGATACAATATAGGATAGGGTTCCTCAACCCTGGTCTGTTGCCCAGTACTGGGCCACAGCCCATTGGGAACCAGGCCTAGCTACTTTGAGAGAGTCAAAGGTCCATTTGCGAAAACCGCACACGTGAAACCTTCCCCTCTTTCCTCCCCTTCTCCATGCCAACACCACCTCCACTGGTCCACCAAGCCAAAAGGGCTGGGGACCACCTGGTAATTTTTTTTTGTCAGCTTTTTTTTATACTGGGCCACTGAGTGATCTTCTCCTACATACATTTAGGAAGGTCTCATTCAGAGTATATTTACTCTGAAAATCGGTTTATATTTCTTTTCAATTCTACTAGATATTCTCTTCAGGTTCATCTCTTATTTTTACCTTTTAACAAAATAATAATCTAAAAATGTGTCCTTTTATATCCCAGACCATATTATATCCTTGACTCAGCAAATGAGACTGGGAGCACAAGTAAATTTACTCAGACATGATTGAGAGGTTGAACTGGTAGTTATTTTCACCAAGTTAGACCTGTGAAGATCTACAATTCCCTAATCCCAGCTCTAGATTAAAAATTATGATGGAGAGTCCACTCTGCTACAGTTATTTCCTTGGTTCTCCACTTAGATTCTCTTAATCCTCAGCCTAAATATTGCACTGCAGTTTAGTCAGGCACAAGTTTTAGATTAAAAATAAAGGCCAGCACATTTTGATAAGATAAAAAGATTAAGAACATTCATCCTCTGTTGACTGTTTTCCAATCAGGGGTTATTTCTTCATTATAAAACATAAATATGATAATAACTTGAGATCTTTGAACAGCTATTTCCCAATTGCTTCCTCTTTTGCTTCTCTGATTCATTTTAGTTTGTGATAAAATAAATATCAAAAATTTTGTCAACCAGGGAAATACAATCCTATGCTTATTTGTCAGGTGGTGCAGGAGCCATAGGATTCTGTGGTGCTCCCTATCCCCAGATGGAGATTGACAGAGAGTGAATTTGCTAAGAGATCCCTCTCCAGGTCTATCCAGCAATAGAAAGAGTGAGAAGAAGGGTTTCTGTAGGAAGATCAGGAGCAGGTAAAAGGATGCTGTGGGATTACTATATCCAAAATATTTTTCTTCCACAGCCATATCTACCACAACTGGCACAAACCAACAACTATTACACACACACACAACCAGATTTTTTTTAAAATCAACCATATTATCTCTTTCTTTAAAGTCAACCAGCCCTTTGTACTTTAAGCATCAGATATATTTCTCCATAAGAACAAACTGTAATTTTATTTGGTGATATTGAAATAGAATAAAAAGCTACTTACGATGCAAGTTGAGAGAGATGTTGATAGTCCATTCCTCAATAAACCCTTTGAGATTAGGGATTTTGGCACATTTGAGAACCGTCTGGGGGGAACTGTCACCAACATGAACCCAGCAGACTGTGTCTTCTACGTAGTTGAAATCCATGGCAGTTGTTTGCTTGGTGCTAGTTGGGCTGATGTTAGAGACAGACCCACCATTCAGGTAGGTAGCCATGATGTTCTGAGAATTGGCAATGAGTAGGATGGGTGGTCGTTCTACTGGTTCTGAGAACAAAAGAACATCCAATGGAGAAGGATGGTCAAAGGGAAGGTCACATCTTTCTTCAAAGAGACAGAGAGGCTAAACTTCCCAAATGTGCTTGCAAAAGAAACCTCAAAGTAACAAAGACCAGCAATGTGTATAGGATAAGCTCTTTTCAGTAACATAAAAGAAGACCAACAAAATCTATGCAGAGACTTTTAATTTTAAGCAAGGGAGATAAGAAAAAAAATCTGCCGTGACAGGAACAGATTCTCACGGTGATATGCTTCCTATCACAAATGAAAAAGAATGCACAAAAGAATGCAAAAGAAGCGCAAATTGGGTACTTTGGGCCTCGGTGGTACAGTGGTTAGAATGCAGTACTGCAGGCTACTTCTGCTGACTGACAGCTGACTACAATTTGGCAGTTCAAACCCCACCAGGCTCAAGGTTGATTCAGCCTTCCAGCCTTCCGAGGTGGGTAAAACGAGGACCCAAAATTGTTGGGGGCCATATGCTGATTCTGTAAACTGCTTAGAGAAGGCTGGAAAGCATTATGAAGCAGTATATAAGTCTAAGTGCAATTGCTATTGCTACTTGTGCTTTTTATAAAAACAACAAATTACTAGCAAATCAACTTCATTCAAGGGAGCAAAATTCAAGATTTTAGCAGTATAGAGCATTTCATGTTAACATTTTCAAAGTTTCTGAATTTTTTTTAAAAAAATTGTAATTTTTGCTACAGAAACCAATTTAAAAAATAGCTGTGTTTTCATCAGACATACGTATATTATATTGGTGACAAACTGAGCTATCAAATGGAGCTTCAGCACTTAAAAAATAAAGTGGCAGCCATGGCCTACAAGATATTCAACCAGGAATAAAAAGAAATTATGTACCATTCTTGGCTTTGCAAGATTTGTGATCAGGCTGGAGCAGATATCCCTCAACGCAACTGCACGTGTAGGAGCCATCATGGTTAGTGCAGGTTTGGCTACAGGTACCGTAAATAGAACACTCATCAAAATCTGTTGGAAAGAGGCAAAAAAAGGACAATTAAAGAAAGTCAGGGGAGGAATACTTATTTTAGTTACCGTATTTACTACAATTTAAACATCATTTAATCCAAAGCATCTTATACAAAGAATTAAAAAAAACCAAAAAAACCAAACAACAAAAGTGCCAAGAGGACGAGAAATTCAAAGTAAAAATGCTGAATAATAGTAGTAGTAGGCTTTGCCTGTTGGATTTATATCCAAACTTTTCTGCAGAATATCAAGATGGCACACACACACACCTTACTCAAATTCCCCTACAGCACAGGTGTCAAACTTGCTACGTCACGTTGCCATCATGTGATGTTTTGTGATGTTTTCCCCTTTCATGAAGCTGGGGTGGGCATGGCCTGTGCGTGATGCATCTGGCCCACAGGGCTGCCAGTATCAACTCCTGGGCTTACAGCAACAGCCACTTGTCATCCTTGAATATACATGGTGTTGCATTCCACTGGCTGAGCTGGTATGCAATTTGAGGTTCCCCTGGAGTCAAAAGTTTCATGGCAGATTGGGCGGGGGGGGAAGGGGGGAAGGGGGGGGCAGGAAGTTTGGTTTGCATCAATTTGCCTTGTGTGCCAACTGTGACCTTTCTTGGACTGAGAGGTCTCGCTCATGGTTATTCGTGCCTTGGTCACCTCCTAATTGGTTTACTGCAATGCCCTTTACATAGGCTGTCTTTGAAGACCCATTGAAAGTTACAACTAGTCCAGAATGCAGTGGTTATATTAGGTGTTCATACATTCACCCATGTTATATCTTGATATAATGTAGGAGCCATGGTGGGACAATTGTTAGAATGCAGTATTGCAAACTGACTGTGCCCATAGCCAGGAGCTCGATCGTGACTAACTCAAGGTTGGCTCAGCGTTCCATCCTTCTAAGAAAGGTAAAATGGGGACCGGTAAAACAGGGACAATATGCTGACACTATAATCCTCCTAGAGATTATTATAAAGTACTATGAAGCAGAATATAAGCCTAACTACTAGCACTTTGCTATATTCTATTGTGTGAGGTGCACTGGTTCCCCATTCCCTTCTGTGTGCAATTCAAGGTGCTTTAAAGCAGTGGTCCCCAACCTTTTTATGCCACGGCCCGGTACCAGCATCACAAAACCATCCGCGGCCCGGTACCGGCATCAGCACGCATGGCAAGGCAAGCCGAGCGACCGGCCAGCCAGCCGTCCCCCGCTTCTCCCCGCCACCTTCAACTCCTCCTTTGTACTTGTGTCGATGGGCTTCGCGACGGCTTCGGGACAGTCGCTCGGCTCGCCTTGCCATGCGTGCTGAAAGAATCCTCACGCCTTAGTTTTGTTCGAAGCCACCACCACCACCCCCCCGATGAAACTAAGGCGCGAGGATTCTTTCAGCACCCAAATGCCACTTTCTACCCGGAAAAGCTCACCGGAAGCACTTTTTCATCAAAACAAGATGGCGGCACCCAGCAAACCAGCGACCCGGTAGAAATTGTTCTGGGGACCGGTGGTTGGGGACCCCTGCTTTAAAGGTCACCTTTAAAGGTCCTTTCTTTCTTCCATCTTGTCATTTTTAAATCCACTTTATAATCAGTTTTATCCTTGTCAGATAAATCTTGTTCTTCTTCCAAAACATTTTTAAACATAGTCTACAAAGATAAATACTTTTAAAATTAACTTTTGGGTCCAATGTTAACAAATATCCTTTAGTGTGTCCAATATTGAAGTATTCTGTTGCAAGTTGACTTTGAGTGATCTTCTCCTTTAACTGTTATTTTTAATTCCTTCTAGTTCTCTCTAGTGTCCTATTTTTAAAGTCTTATTTTATTATGTCATTTTTTAGCAATTCAAAACAAAAGCATTTTCCCATGGAAATGATTATTTATAATTAATTCCAAAATTTTATTTCAAAATTATCTGTCCTCTTAGTACATTTATAACTTTCTAATATCAAAATTTTGATCACCCTTTTGCTTTTCATTTAAAAAAAATGAGACTTTAAATGTAGTTTATTTTGCTAAGAACTGGAGGAAATTCACCCAGTGCTGTAAAACCAGACAACCCAAAGATTCCTAGCTGAAAAGCAGTTAACAAGCAATTACCCAAAGTGATTAGAAAAGGAAGTATGTGAACCCAAGGCTGTTCCAAACCATGTCAACTATAGTTTGAGAGCTCTAAACCTAATGGAGACTGCTATCTCACAATATCTTCTCAAAAGGCAACTATGTGGAGCAGTTGTGGGCAATCTGAAGTGCTCTCCTTATCCAGAGAGGAATTACTGAAGAGGCGGTGTACTTGCTGGCTCTTCCTTCCGCCACGGTCATCAGCTGTGCTTTTTGTGGAACATCTTCAGTTCACTATTTCTTCCACAGAAATCAATTGCATCTCACATTTGTCAAGATGAGTTGTGATAGGGAAAAAAAAAATCTGAATAAGCACCTTAGAAGTTGCAACAAATAATTTATAATTGTTCTCACCCATGAAAGAAGGAGGGAGAGTTTATGAATGAAGTTTAAGGAAACCCAGTAAATGTAGCCTATTTGTTCATTTTTCACCTACCTTTGCAACTTTTCCCATCTTCATCTACCTGGGAGGAACTGTTACAATAGCATACTGGTCCATCCAGAGTTGGGACACAATGGTGTTGGCAGCCCATACTTGAACAATTTGCCAGGAGCTCTAAAAAGGAGGAGAAGTGGTAATAGTTATGGTTAGAGATATAGAAGGAAATTAATACTGCAGTTTTTCAACAAATAACAACAATAATAATTTATTGTCATTGTATGTATACACATACAATGAAATTCACATAACACCCAGAGACCAGACCCAACAAGCACACACACGACAATCCCCAAGCACACGTCCATCAGCCAAAATTCCCCGCCCCCTAAAAACACACAAGCATGCACACAACAGACCAAGTAATACTGTCCAACAGCTCACTGATGGTAGTCCTTAAGTTCATTGTTAGATGCAATTATAGCTCTGGGATAAAAACTGTTCGGAAAACGTGTGGTCTGAAGTTTAATTGTTCTGTATCTTCTGCCAGAAGGCAACAGTTCACAAAGATTATAAGCAGGATGGGAAGAGTCTCTGAGAATGTTGTGCGACTTCTTCAAACAGCGAGGTCCAAAGATGTCATCCAGGGCTGGTAGCTGGAGCCCAATGATATTTTGGGCAGTTTTAATGATTCTCTGTAGAGCTTTTTTGTCTGGTTCAGAGCTGCTCCCATGCCATGCAAGAATGCCGTACACGTCAGGACACTCTCAACGGTGCTGCGGTAGATGCTGAGATAGATTTATCTTCCTGAGCATTTGCAGGAAGTACAGCCTCTTCTGTGCCTTCTTCACAAGCATGTTAGCATTTATAGTCCATGAGAGGTCCTAAGTTAAGCAAACTTAACTCTTTAACTGGTAGTATTATAAATCCATTCCTCTTTTGTATTAATATTTGCAACCAGAGAAGTTCTACAAGAAACTCCAAGCTACTGTAAAACCTCTTCAGGTTCATCTTAAAGTTCTGCTAATTCTGACACAAAAACATCTTATTGTTTTTAGAGAATATGCCTGCCAAGCTCGTATGAATTGTTGAAGCTCGTGCTGCCATGCCCTCTCCCCTCTGGTTGCTGGTCATTGCCCAGCATGGCCATTTGGCTTGGGCTAGAGGAGAAACAACACACCTGGTTTCTGCAGAGATGTGTGTTCATATAATGCCTGACCTACACTTGGCTCATTCATTCTTCAGGCATTACATGGGTTCCTTATAAACATTGATACAGCTGGTCTTCTGGAGAAACAACAGATTCATTTAATATTCTTAAAAAAAACAATCAACCTGTGAGCTCTTTTTTTTAAAAAAGGCATTGATTAATTTAAACTAGAAAAGAGTGCAGTTTCTGTCTCATCTAAGTGGATTAAAGGTTTACTATTACTTCTCCTTACAAGGGGTTTTTAATCTTCATGCTTTCTTTCATTTTAACTTTTGGAGGAGGAACTAGTGTCATTTTGCCTCTTCTTGTACCATTTTGTACACGCCAGGCCTGTCAAACTGGTGGCCTACAGGCCAGATGGGTCACGCGTAGCCATGCCCACTCCATTCCACAAAGGCCAAAAAAAGTCACAATACATGACATAACACAATCAATTTTGACACCTGCGGTGCACGCCATGGGGTATCTCCGGGTGCAACTGATTGCAAACATTTGCTATCAGCATTGCCATCCAGCTTGAATATTTGGAAACAGCCTGAAATTAACAGGAGTTATATCAGAGTCCCTTTCCTAACCAGGTGATTGAAGCACTAGTAAACTTCTATCCAAAGACAGTCCAGATAACAAGATAGTGGAGTGGAAGATAACTAGAATGAAACAGGAGGGAACATTCTCAATGCATCATCACTCTGCAGTCATCATCTACCCTCACTGGCTTGTCAGCTGGACTCTTCTGGATACAGGTCTACTAGTTTTCCAGAAGACCAACTAGCTAGCAAAGCCAAAGAAATTCCTATGCTAGAATTATCTCTAGCAAAACTCTAAGAAAAGGGCAACTCACAAGTCTTATTACTAAGGCAAATTTCAGTTCAGCCACCAGAGTACCACAAATTACAGCAGCACATTTTTCTGATGACTGAAAAATGAGAGAAATGCACAAAGTAACACAGCTGGATGGAAGACCCCTTCTATGACTTGTTGTGCATTGTACAATGAAGTATTCAGGAAAAGCCTGGCTTCTATGGAGCACATAAAGTAATTTAGATTCGATTGCCATGCCAATTTGTGTCCATACATTTCAGCTACATCATTCTTCATTTCAATCATTCTTATTCAAAAATAATGCAATTATGCTTTCTATTTGCTATGGAGTCTTTATGTAAATTCTTGTACTACTGACTTATCTGCATTTCTTACATTTATACTTTTTAAAACAGATTAATTAAGAAAGTCACCAGGATATTAACTGAAGCAGGAGTCCACAAGTTCTATAGATCCAAACAACTTTGGCTCACTCTTTAAGCAGCCCACCTCTGACTGATGAAGATTAAGCAATCAGGCAGTGAAATAATCAGTCCAACACTAGTTTTCTATGCCATTCTGGGTTTTCCAATAAAATTAATATTGGTTAGTGCTAATATTTTTATCAGATTATCCATATTTTCCAATTTGGCCCTCTTCTATGTATGAACATTCTTCATTTATTTAGATATTTCATTACTCGTTCATTTTGACATTCAACTCTGAGGCATTCCAGTCACAGTACTAAAATTAACATTGTATTATCAGTACATTTCATCCTAACACTATCAGCCATGGGATGATTACATATTCCCTTTTAGCATTTCTCAGGGAAATTTCCTACTTCTCAGGGTTACCCAACACTATAATTGTGAAGAGTTGTACCAAGATAGGGCTTCAAAAAAAATACGGCTTTTGAAACACCCTCAGTAATGTGTCTTTTTGAGCAATGCGGTGATTTCATAACCTCCCAACAATGAATCCTCATCTAGAATGCTGAGATCAGAAAATCTTGAATATCAGCCAAAGGGGCATTTGAAGGAGGCAATGACTACAGTAAGGTTGCCCTTGATGTGTCTGGCTTTTGTGGTTAATTGCTACTAAATGACTGTAATATATGTTTCCATCTGTCTGGTGTTCCCCTAGCACAAAGAGGAGATGAAGTGGGACCAATAATGAACTCTCCAAACTGGTCTTTCCTTTCTATTGTCCAAGAATCCATAACAATTCTGGATTCTGCCAAAGACAATTAAGGAGAGTTCACATAAAATGTGGAGATTTCTCCAAAGTATGTAAGTGTTATTCCTTCTTCCAGAATATAATAGCACAAAGTCAAAAAGATACAAATAAAATGCAGAGGAAAATGAGAAGATGTATGTCATTTTTTTTCCGCAGATCGAAAGCCCAGGTCTATTCTCTGGCAGTTCAGGATTATATATTCTCAAACAACATGGGGCTGAAGCTGAGGACAGCAATCTTTGAATTATTAGGGGCTACATCGTGCTTAAAAGATGTCCAATGACTCTTCAGAAAGACCATCCTTTAAGTCTGAGTACTATTGCTATTGCTAAGATAAGGTAAGTTAGGGTAGAGGTTCCAAACTGTTCAGAATCTATTGCTGAATTTAAGCAGATCAATCATGGAGTATTTAAAGTCTACTAAAGAAACACTGGGAATCAAGACTGCCCACCCTAGATTAAATAAGTATGACCTAATTTGATATCAATGGTCAACCATAAGATTCTGAAGTGCACCCAAAATAAACTGGATATGCAGAAGTTCTGTTTTGTTTTGTTTTGTTTTTTTGTGAACTGAACTAAAAGCAACCCACTGCCCATGAACATGCATTAAAAAAAATTAGTATGTGCTTGACAGTCCTACCTATACAATTCTCATGCCACCTTCTAAATCTGCAACTGAGCCTGCACCCTGAACAGGAATGATGCCAGGACACTATACTTGAATGCAAGTATTATTATTTATTAGATTAGAAAAGACAAAGCTCCTAGTCATATGGATGTTTTCTATTCGTGTTCAAGAGAATACAAGTTGAGATACCTAGCATGCTTTCCTGTCCTAGATCAAAAGAAGAAAAGGATTATACCAGGATGGCAAAGTACATAGCCTAATCCCTTGCATGAGTTTTACTCTATTTAAATTTGCAGTGCCTAAAGTATATTGAGTTCACCTCTCTGTATTGAAGATATCTTTCTGTCTTCAATTCAAAGGGATCTTCACATGTTTACTTTAAAGTCCTGTGGCAGGTAAGAAGATACAACAGCATCAAACCAACTTCTTAAATGGTCAGCAAGTTTCCTAACTCCTTGGGCAAGATTGTGTGACACTTCCCAAAACAGCAAAAAGTATACAGGCAAAGGGCAAGCTTTAAGTCCTATTTATGTGAGCTTTGCTGTAGCCAATACTAAGAAAAGACTGCTATATCCTCTTTTGAATAAGTTTTGCTTTTACTACTAAATTCCAAGTCTCCCAGTTTAGCAGGACTTACTTTTTCTTTCTTGGACTTCTACGTTATATCTCCAAAATCCACTATGAGTACTGTCTTAATACAGTACATATTAATAAACTAAATAACAACTAATAATAAACTAAGAACATATTAATACTAAATACAATATTATTATAGCCACAGGCTATTAAATGCAAGGCCTTCAAGTCCAATCAATTTCTATAATCTCAGCTTTCAAGAAGATTCTGAAAGCCAACATAAGTATACTTAACTTCCCAGTCAATCTCAGCACTGTCTGAATACTTGGCTAAATGGCCTTTTAATCAGGGGTGGGATTCTACCAGTTCACACCTGTTCGCTAGAACTGGTTGGTAACATTCTAAGCATTTTGGAGAACCGCTTGTTAGAAGAAATTACTGGCCTAATCCTATAAGGAAGGCAGGAAGGAAACATTCTGGTGTTGCTTACAGAAACTGCCTCTCCATTAATCCTTATTACATTCTTGGCAGGACTAGACTTCCTGTCTCTGGAACATCTCTGGAGTTTTTCCCCTCCTTTGCTGGTACTTTGCTTGTGTGGAGTGACCATTCAAAGTTACAATGGCACTGAAAAAAGTGACTTATGACCATTTTTCACACTTACGACTGTTGCAGCATCCCCACAGTCATGAGAGGCCAGGTGAGGAGATGCGTGCCTCGA